GCCCACTGGTGCCTGGATGAAAACAACTTTTGGGAAAGAAAGGCTATGTGAAATGCAATGGAAACGTCAGCTTAACTCATATCATTGTGGGAAAATTCTTCTTCTACCAGTCCTTCATCACCTAAAACGAAAGTGAGTGAATACATCTCATATTACTGATATACTGATAGTCACGAAAGCAATACTTAATGCGAAAAAATAAATATACTTACTTGCTAAAGTAGTTGTCCTATTTCTCTCCTATATTCCTCCAGTTAACTGGCTTCAGAAAGACTTTTCTAAAGAAGAAATTATGTGGTTCCTCAAAGCTTTTTCGTTTGAAATAAAAATAAAAATGTGATAATGTATGATGTGGTGTGATCTCGGTTTCACCGTCTCGTGTTTTTTAGAGAGTCCGTAGTCCTGCGCCATAGTAGTCATTGTGAGAAAATTCTTCTTCTACCAGGCCTTCATCACCTAAAACGAAAGTGGGTGAATAAATCTCATATTACTGATTTACTGGTAGTCTCAAAACAATACTTAATCGAAAAACACCGGGATTATAGTACCGTAGCCCGATTAAATCTTTGCTCCACTTATGTGATTTTTTAATGTAGAGTTAAAATTTATGAAATAAGGACAAAGCACTATTCACTGAGCAAACAATAATGTATTTAAATTAAGTTGGGAACAATTTAAAGAAAAATATTTAATATTTAAATATGTTATGCCTCCATAAAATATGCATGTAGGTTCTAACCGGTAACGATTTTGCAAGAATTTATCGAATTCGCCCTGTTGTTTTCTCTTGATTATTTAGAAGGAACACGATCAGCGCATATCCCTGGTGTAGCTAAAGGAATGCCTTCAGTGCATTCTTGCAGAAGGTAGTGTCATAATCTAGTTAGTTAATTGCTCAAACTCATTTGTGCCAACTAAGTCATTTTTCTCGTTTTCGTATGTGACTTTCTGCTTTTGCCAAAAGTTTTATTACACCTTTGACCTCAAAATTTTCATTTTTATCGTAACACTCAAGAGTACTCTTGATGACTGCAAACCTTTTGTAGTTTGGTATATTTTACATCCGAAAGGGCTCCATTTTTACCATCAGTCAAATTGGACACTTACAAGTCTGAACGCTTAAAACCACAGTGAGAAAAACAGTCTTGAATGACCCTACCGCCTATTTCTCGTCAAATATCGGCGACAAAGTGTTCTGCTTACTCTCGCCTCATTGGCTGTCGAAGACAATGTCAGCAAATTTTCTTTAATTTATTCACATTCATTGAATTTCCGCATTATAACTTACTCGATTTCTTTATTATTCCCATATGCATTGGCTGACCTAAAGGTATGGTTTTGGCATGCAGAAAGTTAGATGAATTTTTTTCAAGCCCTCCAAATTAAGGTGTGCGGTATAATCGTCAAGATGCCGAAGAACCCTGTTATTTCCGTTGTGGTTCCACGCGAATATTCAGGAATTTAATTGAAATGACAAACTGTCCATTGTCAGCCCGTGATGCATCGAGGCAAAGTGCTTTTTCCCATAACCAGCAGCATTTTTATCAGTTCCTCACACGTCTGAACGGCATAAAACATTCTTTTCTTTGAACCCCACCGTTTTGTGTGTTTACAGCCAAGGGAAATGTCCATTGTGACACACTGTGTGCTTTCTTACACTTTGTACCATCGAGGCATCAAACCATCAATTGTTAGTAGCTCATCATTGCCCAGCTTTTAGCCAACTCTGACGTACTTTACAGCATTGACTCAGACAGGTACACCTCGTCCAGTTGCGATAGATACTGTACCATTAATTCGGTGCCTCATCAGCGTTTGGATACTCGTGCTTAGCGTAATGCCCATTTCTCGTAGTTTATACTGCTCCTTTATCAAACATGCAAGTCGCATCAGCCAGTCGCTTGTCGTTTTATCTGGTCCAGTAAAAAAAGTTTCTCAGACAATACTAAAACTTTTCGTGGCCTCTTGAAGTGGTGATCAACAGTCCTAGTTAGAAAACATCACATCTACAATACACCAATTAACTTAACATATGATTGTGGGAAAATTCTACTACCAGTCCTTCTTCACCTTAAACCAAATAGGGTGAATACATATCATATAAATTATGAGCATTTTATCAGTTTGTCTTTTTTTTCTGTGCGATTTGTCCGAAATAAACTGCCGCTCCGATTAACTAACGGCCTAAGTAACCACTTCTTTTTTATTTACCCTGCTTTCATTACTATTTTCTTGGAATATACCATACTTGGTGCCTACAACTCCAGCTTAAGCTTTTGGCTTCTAGTTGCAGCTACGTGCTGATAAATCGCGCGTAACATTTTCTTTTAATAACAGAATTTTATTTCTCGAAATTTTCTTCCTTTTCACTATCAGGTTTGACTTTGTTCACTTAGACTTTCTCTTCCACTGCTTCTCTCTTTCTTATACGTAAACAGCCAAACAATTTCTACCAAGGGCTGTGTTAAGCTGATTATTAGCTTTGAAATACGTTAGTCTTGCTGTTTGTCTTTGCAACTTATTTTGATCGCCATAGTACGTCTGATCCTTTAATTATTTTTATAGTAGCCTGCTATTCAACGGTGAGGAAAAAGTAAGCTTCTTCTTAACCAGTTATCTTTCTCGCAGTACGCTTCTATGTTAAATTTTTATCTTTTATCTGCATATGCATTTATAATTTGAAATACGTTGAGCTTACATTTTGGCATTCCAAATTCTTTTAATTTGCACATTTTATACACTTCGGTAAAGATTAAGTTCACTTATTTCTAGCTAGTTTTTTTTCTCGCATTACTTTCTTTTCTTCCCATATTTTGCTATCATCTGTGTAAACAATGATAAAGTTGTGTTGAGTCATCAAGTAGCTTTGGATAAGTTCAATTAGCTGTTTGAATTTCCAAATTGTTTATCAATGAGCAAAATTGCATACAATTGTATATGTTTATTTTGGTATAGCACTATTGTTTTTGCTGACTGCGGACACCGATGATCGCTGATGGCCTCTATGGCTGATCCGTATTCATTCTCTCCTTAGATCACGATTGATCTGGACAAATTATCTAGCTCTTTTGATAGGATTCTGGGTGAGCTGAGTTGTATAGAGTGATGTAAGTATATTCCGATTGCCCCTACTTTCTTTGGGAGAAAACTTAACTTTATTATGGAATTTACTTCATTAAACTGTAGATATGAAGGCCAAGCTACTATGACCTCTGTTTCGGTCGCAGTAGCTCTACATGAGTGGTTTGATGTCATTTTGCAATTCGGTCGCAGTATCAGAGAGACCTAGATAAGCGCAGCTTATCCGAAGTCTTCTGTTATCGTAGTTATGGTAATTACCAGCATCGGGCCGTGGACTTGTTCAAGGGATAGATTTCACCTACCTCTTCGACTATGTGTAGCTTGGTACTAAAAATTGCAAGGCGATGCCGACTACGATTCCGGCTAAACGTATGAGAATGTACCAATTTCGCGGTCCAACGTTGGGAATGATTGTAACTAAATTATCAGAGGACTTCGGAAAAGATGCATTCATCTAGGTCCCCCAGGCACCATAACCAATTTACGAAGACTAAACCAAATCACTTCTTTGCTCTATTATAGTTCTTTATCTTCCAAAACAATATTACACTTTCTAGCATTTCCTCGTTGCTTTGGAGGGGCCTCAGTCTTTGTATCCATACATTTGGGGCGCATATCCATAATTTGGTTTCGAACGACCAAGACGCATCAGTCTTTCAGATACTGTGATTTTACTTCTAAAATGGCTGTTCTTTTTTTACATAAATGCTAATTTTGTCTCAATTTTATTCTTTAATATAATTATTATAAGCTAACCGATAAATGCACCACTTAACTTGACTTTGCATGATTATTCTTCAGATTAAAGCACTACACTTGTTCGGTCATCTAAAATAGTATAGATATTCTTTGGTAAACATTGAAGATCTTTATGGGCTCGGATTTCAGAATCATTAACTTTATCACGTGGGAAGATCCTAGTTAGTGAGTCATCAAGGTGGTCCTTCTAGGATAGCACACATTCTACCAGCGATCTATGCATGCCTTTTAGTGAGGATACTGGCTCTTAAGAATCGTGTATATCTATTCTGATGATGGCATTTATCTTTATAATTCGAAACGGCAAAAGAAGCTAATCTTTACCTTTTTACCTCTTTAAAAGTATCTTTTTTATATATTCACTATTATTCAGAAGGATGATTTAGCTTTTTCTTTTGTCATTGTTTTTTTCTCTGTTCGGAGTTTTTTTAGATCTAGTTTTCACAACCTATTCATATTCTACGCATTAGAGGATGTGATATATGCTAGACCAAATAGTGGAGTGGGCAGTTGAAGAAATTCCACAGACTTTCAATGCAAAATCGGTTGGGCTGATTGATTTCACTAGTCACTGTGATGCGTTGTAGATAGTTGTTAAGGGTAGCTGTGCTCATTGACGATACCGACAAGTGTCTGGAAGTGTGCCCAGTCCATAATATGATATATGAAGAACATATGGCAAGAATCGTTGAGAACACAGTACGGGCTGCGTTACTCGATGTCTCTAAAAAGTCTGGCATGTTACGAAAGTTAGATAAAAGCAACTCTAATACTCACAAACACTGGAGAATCAAGACTTAGTAAAAGTGCCTATTCTAGCGTCCTAGCTTTATTTTGGATCATATTTTGTTGTGGAATCGCATCACTTTTGGTGTCAATCAGGCAAGCTGATGCAACAGAGTGGTTTGTCCTACCGAACTATGAAGAAGGATTTTCTTGAATTAAAATCCCTTTTTTCCTCAACTGTTCTGAGCTTCTTACAGTCACACGATAATAGCTCCCTTTCAATAATAGGTTAATAGGTTAAACGGTGGTCTAGTAAAGTGGAATATGTACTGAGGACTTATTTTCTCCAAAAGACGATTTCTTAAAGAAGACATATTGCAAGTCCGAAATGGCCACGTTTCTAGGCAAAACTAATCCACCAAATCCCTTTAAATAGATTTTCACACAAGTAAACGATACGAGTATTGCATTTTATAGTTGAATTCATAAAGCCTTCCTTACATCAAAACCCTCAGTTTGTGGACCATTACGCTGCTAATATTATTCTTTCTTATTCACTCTTACCCATCTTGCTAATTACTGTCCTTTTGTTTTGATTTCCATTTAGATTATTCGTCAAATTAGCGAACTTCCCACATGTCAATGTAACGAACTGGTGGATGAAGTGCTACCTATCAAGTCGGATACGGTCGAGAAGCAAAAATCTTCTACAGATGGACAGCTGCAGCAGCAAGTGACACGCCAGCGAACCAAACTGGAGCTGGCCGTCCAGTCCGCCTTGGAAGCGGCCAAAGATGTTTTGAGGCCTCCGACGCCTCCACCTCCTCCACCAATACCCCCTCCTCCACCAAGGCATGTTATTTTTGAGGGCCATCTGTCTTATATTTCTTCTTAACCTCAAGAAAGGCTTATTAATTTCAAATGACTACTCACTTGACTACTTAAAAGAGTGTTCCTGCAGGGTATCCTCTGATATAGATTGAGGGGAATTGTCGACTTTAATTTCGTATTAAGTTGTAAAATATTTGGGCTCAGAAGGTTACTACTTTCGCACAAGATAGTATTCCCCTAGAGCATTAAATCTTGTCAAGTGATTTGATAAACATTTTCTTCGCTGGATTGGCATATTTCCATATTTTTTAAAGTGGTTTGACCTCATTTTCGCAACTTAGTCGTGTTTTCAGGGCGACCTAGATGAGCGCAAGTTGTTTGAAGTCTTCTGCTATAAATGTTATGATAGGTGCCAACTGCAGACCGTGGACTTGACACATTCATAGATGCTTTGTAGGCATTTTAGTCGGTATCGTCAATGAGTCTTACCACTTAGCACCAAGCGAGTGTAGTCGAACCCTTGGCCAACCTTCTGCTGAATGATTATGCCATCACTCGTCTTTCTGCTCTGACACATCTACCTACTCCTCATCCTTGTATCACACTTTCTTATCACAATTTCTAAATT